GGCCTGCCTAGAATCATTATCGTCAAGTTCAACTAAAATTTAAAAAAAAAGTAGGCCAAGGTACCGTTTCGACGTGACCGGACGAGAGGAAGAGCTGTGTTAGCTGAGCTGTGTTGCGTGGGCATGTGAAGAGGTCGTTAGAAGAACCTTCATATGCCGGACATACATTTGGCACATTGGGGTCTAGTCTGGATAAGTAACAGTTTAACTAGTAATTGAGGCAGAGTCACGTGGGTCTTTATGTGTACATAGTGACTGTACTTCAATGACGGCATTCACAGGGCGAGAGTTGGTGTAAGTGGTGACGGTCTCCTTGTGGTCCAATTGCGGTTGCATGAGCTGAGAAATAGAGCAGGCTGTTGAAGGTTACTCCGAAGATTTTCGGGCTATTCGCAATCGGAATTGGCAAGCTGTCGACGTGGCTGCCTGTAACCGGACCCCTTTTGTCCAGGTATTAAAAATTATTGCTTAGGATTTCTTAGGGGAGAAGGATAGACTCCTTGCAGTAAATAAGCTGGAAAGTATGGAAAGGTACGAGATGATCTATGTTTACTATTTAGTAGCGTGGAATGGCAGACGGTGTCAAATGTGTTTTTGCAAGTCCAACGCTACTAGGGTTGTTCTCTTACAGAGGCGAGGCGGTTACAGTTGATGCCACCTGTTATCTGAATGTTTATGACATCAAGTTCTGTTATGGTGCTGTAGCCTCATGGAAGCCATGCTGGTTTATCAATCGAGCTTAGAGCAGGTAGTCTACTGTATCACTACTGAATCTACTGACTCAAGTGAATCACCCTGTATTTGAAACGTTTTGGTTATAAGGAAGCGCAATTCTTTACTATTATTTAATCAACTCCCACTTTTTGCAGTGTTGGTTCGGCACAGAAGTAGCATGCTTTAGTATGCCGAAACGTGTGCACTACCTTGATTAAGAGCCTAATGTGCGGGCTGCCTAAAAGTACTACCACCTTTATTCAACAAAGCGTGCAGCATACGACTACCGTTATTCCCATATACTTTACGGTAAAATATATTTTCTGGCTTATGAAGGACTTGCATCATTTTATTTCCCTTAATTTTTTTAATATAAGCTTCTAGAATGCGGTGTTCCTAACACCTTGACACTAAAAAAACCCAATGGAATTAGATTTTTTAAACATGTGGTAACTCTCCTACATATAGTTAACATGTAAAGTCTTTTCAAAACCAATTTGGTTGATGCACATAACATTTTAACACTTGATTTAAATTGTTTAATAATTTGAGCTTATTTCCTAACGGTTCGCAACTCTTTTCAAAAAAGTGAAATCTTATTGCAACTCTAAAGTCCGAGCCCTTTGCTTTGACACCTCATTTTCGTAAATCGAACGAATGGTGTAGATCTGATGACCTGGACAAAAAATCCCTTCTCGCGTTATATTACTTAGTTATATATAAAATACTGGAAGTTAGTTGTAATAAATGTTTGTTTTATTGCAAGAACTTCAGGATTTCATTAACGACTTCGAAATGTCATTGTATCGAAAATTATAGTAAATATCAAATGTAAAAAATGCAACATCTTTTTGAAAAATGTTTAAAAATTAATATAATAATAAAAAACTCTGTAAAATATTTTTGAAATATACACTTAATTAATGTGCATTTATTTATACATACGTATATAACAATTTCATATTAATACTACACAATTTTTCTAAAATTATAATCCCTAAAGCCTGCGACAGCCATCACCAATGCGACAGCAAAATGGAGGACATATTCTGATGGTTATAGGCAAACGTGAAGTTGCGCATTTGATCGGAGTACGAGTGGGTGGACACTGTCTTTCGCATAACCTTTGGCCTATAGATGTTTTTATCGGTATCTTGAGACATGCTCTTGAGACTTGAGCTAAAAATAAAAAATCGATTATGCGATTTAATAATGAAACATTTATATTTTTGTATACTTTATGCCAATTAATCCGCTAATTTGAACTTACCATCTACTGTGATAAGAGCCAGAAGTAAAAGGATCAGTATTGCGCTATAATTTTTCGTCATTTTTGCGGTGTATAGTCGAAAGGCAGGCGATACTTTGCAAGG